TCTTCTTCCACATACACACCTGGAAGGTCTGTGACATACCTGCACTGACATCGCCCCCCCCCCCCCCAAGACCCCCCGCTGACATCCCTCCCCCAGCACCCGCCCCCCCAAAAAAAAAAAACCAACTTAACTTTTTTATTTCAGATTCGGGTGTGAGGAACAAGCCCTCCAAGGGCCCTATCAGACATCACATGATCTGGGCTAAGGCCCCCAGCAAGCCGAGTGCCCGCCCTAAGTGAAGGCGGGCCGGAATATTCGTCAGAGGCAAAATTTGACATTTCCATATGCGGGTATTCGGGCTCTCGCAGCACGCCAGTTGGTTGGGTAGACGCATGAGCCTCACAAAGCTGCATCATACAGTTGGCCCAGGCCTTGACAGTTGCGCCTGGGCACATACACACAAAGCAGGGCCATCAGCCTTTGCAAAAGCAGTACCGCCGATACATTGGGAGGCAGGCCATCGGCCTTTGCAAAAGCAGTACCGCCGACGCACCTGCCTGGGAGCCCTGCACAGATGCAGCAAATAGCCCAAGTCCGGAGACTCAGGCCGTGCCCAACAGAAAAGGGCCCAGGCCCTCAACTGTAGTCTCGGGCCTGGGGCGCAAGGTCTGAGGCCCAACCGGAAGCTACTGGAAGCTTCCAGCCAGGCCACACGCAGCATCCAGGAGGCTGCCACTTCCATAAAAGAAGTGAGGCAGCCCAGGCCAGGCATTCTGGCCAGTGCTGGCAATGCGGAAGTGCTGCTGCGCTATCGCGTGATGCTGCGCTGCTGCCAAGGGTGCTGACAGGGGGCGTAGTCGTGAAGTGGGGCGCTGCAGGGCAGCGGGGCACAGGTGGCCATAGCCGGGCTGCTGGGCGCCAAGGGGTAATGCGGGGCAATCGAGTGGTCTTCAGGGAAGGAGGCGAGTGTGGGGTAATCAAGGTCTGATTAGGGTGACGAGATACATAACTGGTGCATGAAGAGAGGTCGGCTATGGAGTTGACAGTCATGTGCATTGGTCTTCAAGAGTCGAAGTGAGCCTGTTGCGTGAACCAGCTGTCGGTAGGATGGTCGGGCAGAGTAGGTTGGGCGCTGGGCGCCAGACAGAGAGGAGCCACTTTGGATACTGTGTTGGTGTGGCCTACGGGCTTGGGCATTGACTCATTACTTCATTGTATTGCTCTATACGGATGGTTTTCTCGGTGCACTTGTAATCTCTGCTTGGACACGACTACTTGGACATCTGTGTGATTTCGCAACTTGGTTTTCTGTATGGTGCGCTGGCGATGCTTCATGTGCAGTAAGGATACTTTGATGCTGGCACGTTGTAGAGGGGCCGGCTGCTGGAAGGCTATGGCGACAGCATGGGAGCTGTGGGGACAGCGGGTGTATGCATGATGATGAGAGTAAGCTGACGTGGCATTTTGGCTGAGGTGGCACTGCATTGAGTTGTGAGTGGTACCGAGGCTATTGACCGGTCATCGAAATGCACGTCGGAACAATTGGTGAGAAATCTGTGGTTGGGGGCAGCTATCTCCAGGTACGTTGTTCCCATTCCTCCCAGGCCAGCCAGGCCTCTGATGGAGGCAGGGCAGGCTCTTTCCATATAGGAAAGAGCTTTCTGCCGGGGCTCTCATTCAGGCACTTGCATGCTAGCGGCAGCTGCTGCTGGAGCGGACGCTCATGGGCTGCCGCTGGCGCTAAGGGCAAGGTGCAAAGCACGTCCGGTCGTGCAAGAAGCAGGGCGCTGCTGAGGGCAGCGCCATAGCCCAGCCTCCATAGCTGGATGGGCTTGGACTCCAGTGAGGCACCGGGGTGTTCTTCGGGTGTATAGAGGGAAGTCATGGGAGTAAGTCAGGGGAGAGAGAGGAGGAGGAGGAGGAGGAGGATGTGAGGGCACATACCTGGTATTGGCGATGGTCTGCATCGAGCGACATCCTCAAGTACTTCGTTGGCCGCTGACGTCAACAGTTGCATTGTCAATTAGTAGGGAGACAGTAGCTGTGTAGAAAGTAGGCTGGGCGCCAAGAGCCAAGTAGGGAGAAGGGACTGGACTCTTATGTTGGTGGTGGCGAGAGAAAGCTCTCATCGACATTGGTTTTCAGTGTTACGAATCTCCATTGGTGTTATATTGGTGCAATGCTGCTTCCTGGACACTGAGATACTATCGGGCTTTCAATGTGATTGTGCATTCTGGTTACTGTCATCTCCCTGTTGCTCATTTTCCTTGCAATTTGGTATTGGGGCTGCTTCGAACTGCGCTTCATTGGTCTTTCGCGATAGCTGTTTTGTGCTTCGCATGAGGTGTGGGGCAGTGACAAGGCTTGGGCGTTGGACGAAAGGCAGCCCAGGGTCGTGTGGGCATGCCAGGAAACTATGTGGTGACATTAGGGGTGTACGCTGGGTGATGAGGGCTCGCTGATGTGGCATTTAAGCCGAGGTGGAACTGCATTACGCTGTTGGTTGTGCTGAGGCAGAGACCGGTCATCATAAATGCACATCCAGTTACCGGTGAGAAATCTGTGGTTGGGGGCAGCATTATGAGGTACGTTGCTCT